GCAGGTAAGAATGTGGGTATGGGAATTTCATCCTCCTCATGGTGCATGGTTGATGATTTCTTCTGTTGTCCATTTAATTCCAGTTGCGACACTAGATTCCTCTTGAAGATGTTCAAACGTTGTGTAATCAGCTGTTTTGGTGTTAGGGTAGATGATGGTCTCTTGTTCATTCATACCTCCCACATACGTTTCATGTAGCCCCTCTCATTGAGTCTGCTTTTGTAATAGCATTCAAGCAGTTCTAGGTTCTCGCTCTGTGTCCAGGAATGATTTGTTCCAGTAGCCTGATTCTGGCACTCTACCAAAACATAGAAACTGATAATATTTACCATGGTGCTGCACAGCGTAATGTATAGAGATGAAAAATGAGGGCACTCGGATTTTTAAAATAAGTTTTTCATACTTTTTCCTAGCACTGTATTCTCTATTAACTTTGAGAACTATATTAATATTGTTTATTTATTCATTAAGCAAACTTTATTCCTCTGAATAAGAGGGTGGATTGGCCAAAAAACTATGGAGAAATGATGGAGAGACTTGAAGATGCAGACATGGATCCAAATTTCACAGATTTCATTGTTCCTGTATTTGTTTACAGGTGAGCAACACACATATTTATATATAGTTCAATATGCAACTTAAAGGAACACTATAGGGTCAGGAACACAAACATGTATTCCTGACCCTGTAGTGTTTAATCCACCATGTAGGTGGCTTGCCCCCCTTAGTTCCCTTAAAAGGGGTAAAACGTACTTTATTTCCAGTACTGCGCGGGTCCTCCGGTGCTGGCCCTACCCTGGATCTGTCCCCTTTGTGACATCATCAGAATTGCTGATTTTTAGTCAATACAATTCTTTCCCATTGTGAAAGCATTGGATTGGCTAAAATCTGCAAGGAGGTGGGATGGGGGGCAGGGCCAAATGCTGTTTGTTTGGGCCAATTAGCACCTTCTCATAGAGATGCATTGAATCAATGCATCTCTATGAGGAAAATTCAGTGTCTCCATGCAGAGTGTGGAGATGCTGAATGGCAGTGCTGCCTACTGTGCAGCACTGGGCCAGAAAGCACCTCCAGTGGCCATCTGAGCGGCCCTCCAGTGACCATCTGAAAAGGCAGTGTTTACATGAAAATATCTGAAGGGAAATATTATACTCACCAGAACAAATACATTAAGCTGTAGTTGTTCTGATGACTATAGTGTCCCTTTAATATCTATCTCTACATGGCCAAAAATCTCCAAAAAATGTTTTAGCTTTCAAATTACAATAATGAGATCAGTTTTGCAAGGAGTGAGTTCTGATGGTTGTAGCACCATGGCATAGCTAGCAAATGCCCACTACTATAGGACAGCAAAGAGTACCTTCAGGAGTCTACATACTCTGAGATGTTGACATATGTCAGGCTATTGCTGAATGTTTAGGATATGAGGTTGTCTACCAATACTCCATCAGAAGCATTCCCATCAACTCTTCAGTGCTGGTATGTACCAGATACAGATATTATATTCAGTAATGCATTGTGTTGTAAGTTTTAGGGTTAGAGACATGTTCTAATTTTGACAGTCTAAATTATGCATTTAATGATTATTTGTGTCACCATATTGACCATAGCCAAACTTTGACAATGTCCATGAAAATGCCTTGGAAAAAACTGCATGACAAAATAAAAAAAAATTGACTTCTTAAATTACATTTCTATGTAAGTCAGTATTTTTATCACCATGCAAGCCTGAACTAAAAACAGAATAAAAAAATGCAATTCTAATATTAACCCTAATTTTTGCGCTAACATTGATCATAACTCTAATATTAGTCCTGGAGCCCAATTGTAATCCTAATACTAAGCCGATTTCAAACCCTAACCCTAATCCTAGCCTACGAATCGTTACTATAGCTTACACTAACTTTCCCTAACTCTGGCTAGCACTTACCCTTCTCCTGACTCAGACTTCAGGCTGATGGATTTTTGAGATCACTTTGCCTTGTTGTAAATGTTTTTCAGAATGATTGAAAAGCCATTGGAGATCTATTGCTGGACTACATCACTTGAGAAACAATAAGCAGTACTCCAGTACCTGTCAACACACAAGCTACCTCCAGTCATGCACTATGGACTGAGTCAACCAGTCACAGTGAAAGTCTCTCATAGAGATGGATGACTGGAGTAGCCTCATACAAACTATTGCTGGAATGATTCCATACCTTGGTATATGTTGCAAACATCAACTGTAGTATTGTTGGCTTAATGAAAACATTCAGGGCATTAACATTAAATATCCTGACATAAATAACTGTGCTCAAACATACATCCTGGAATTTTAAAATAAGGCACATGAATATATTATCCAGAGACGAGTTTTTTTTACGTTGTACAGTCCAGGATTTGCATGACTCTTATAGTTAATTAAAGAATAAATTAAAATTTCACGTTGCAAATTCGACTTGGCCATTTATTTTCGGAAGAAAATATTCTCGTCCAAATTTGCGGCAAGTATGGACGAATGCAAATTACAATAAATGAAACAAAGATCAAATTGACAAAATGGGGCAAAGTCAACTAAACAGTGAGCAGCCAGGGCATAGTGGAATAAATTACAAAGAAACGGGGGAAGGGGTGAAATAAACACACACAGGGGCTGGTGAGGGAGAAAGAGGCACACAGAGAAGCCTGAGTGATGATAAAGAAACACAGATGGGCTGGGGATGAAAGAGACACATAGAAGTGCCTGGGGGGAAGAAAAATACACAGAGGGGCTGGGGGTGAAAGAGACACAAAGGAGCTGGGAAGAGTAGAAGACACAAAGGGGCTGGGAATAAAGGAGACACACAAAGGGGCTGGGGGTAGTAAGACACACAAAATGTGGGAGAATGTAAGAGTCATACAAGGAGGGGGGATTAGAGACACACAAGGGGGGTTGTAAGAGATACAGAAGGGAGGTGTAAGACACACAACGGGGAAAATAGGGGATAAGATACACGAACGGTGATAAGACATTTAAAATAGGGGATAAGAAACATAAAAGGGGGTTAAGAGGCACACAGGTGAGATTTTTTTTGGGGGGGGGGGAGGAAGGGGTGGCAAAATATCTTTGTCTGTGTACCCAAAAATTCTTGCACTGGCCCTGGGGACAGTCCTTAGAAAGCATACAACTAGCACATTATTAGAAACATTTTTGCCAAGCTCATAGTGCTGTTTGTACAGTATGCACGTGGTTGGTAATACTACATGATATATCTATCAGACTGACTATCTAATTCTTCATGCCCCCTTTTTAGGCATGTTTGTCCCTTTAGGTGGTTTTGGGCATGTGATTCACATCAGTGGCCCACCATGTTACCATGCTCACCTAAATCCTGCTTCACTAGACACTACTGTTAGGGGGTATGGCTTTACTTGAAAGATGAAAGTGAGTATGTATTTTCTGTTAGTTATATCCTGTAAGTTTCCCTCCAGCACTACCTCCACAAGATACAACTAGCTTGAGACATTTTTTTTATTGTTTTTGTCGATAAGATTCTGTAATTATCAGCACCAGGCCCAATTGGCTCTTAACCCAGCTTTGATTGTAAGAACTGCACAATTATAACTGTAATTAACCCCCATTGATCTCCCAGTTCCTTCATTATTTTAATTCATTTATTGCATTAAGTAAAGTAATGCACTTTAATCCTCCACAGTGTTGCTAAACTTCTTGATGATAAAGAGAAAAGGGATGTCAAAGATTTCCTCATTAACTGTCGAAATATGACAGGTAAGTTTTGTTTCTAAAGTCTATTAACAGTTCTGATTTGATTGGGTGATCTGTAGGAAATGGGTGTATTTTGGGTGTGTACCACCTTTAACTCCTAACATGACAAGGACCATATTACACCTTAAGGGACATTTTGTTTTTAATTTGATCACATGACAGGAGGCTTCCTATTTTGCATAACTTTCTTTACTAAACTCCATAGCAGTAAAGAAAGTGAAACATTTAAACCAATCAAAATGGAAATAGGGAGTATATCATCCCAGCAAATAGGCTCCTCCACTTTCTTTACTGCTCCATCGCAGACAGGTCAGAGTTTTTGGCTCTTCCCTTATTACCTCATAATATATAAGTTTTTCTGTACATTTATAATTGTTACTTTTGATTATTTACTTTATTTCTTCTTACTATCTTTTCTACTACTTATTCTACCTAAAAAAGGGGGGGTAAGGGCTGCGCTAATAAATAATAAATAAATAGGATATAATCAATAGACAAAGTTCGTCTAAAAATTGATTAAAACAGTCTCACTGATATGTGATGGTAGGATAATAGTCCTCAGGTGTTGATCCGTCCGTATGGTGGCAGATAGTCCATATATGTGGAAATAAAAACAGATAGAGAGCTTCCAATGGTGAAATATAGTACGTCCAAATGTGATGTATAAATCAAGAGAAAAGTATTCCACTCACATTTGTTGGAGCTTGAACCAGCTCTAGGAGAAGAGGCACTTAGTGGTTTAATCCCCACTATCGGATACACTTGAGTGATGGGTCCGTCTGTCCGACTTTGGGTTTCCTTGGTGTAGGATGGGACCTACTCAGATGTGCGTAGTTCTTTGGTGCTGGGGAGATAGGTCCGCCTCTCCGGTTTTGAATATGGGTATCCACGAAATATATAAAACAGTAGATAGTGCTCTCAGTTTGAACAGTAAAACTATTTTTTTAGAAATAAGTTATACTTACAAGAATAGAGCAGACAGATACTGCTCTATTACCACAGCGCTGGTGGAATTATCCACAACTGAGGATTTCTTTGGATGGGATACACTTGAGGGTTAGGGTTTTAAAAATTTATAATTTATACAAAATAAAAAATAAATAAAAAATAAAGAATAAAAGATATAGTATAAAAACAATATGAGAGTGCCAGGAGTAGTTAAAGTGTATAAAATACAATAAAAATAAGTATAAGATTGGTCCTAGTATAAAAGGCTAACCAAAATTTACTTTTATTGATTTAAAATACACTTATTAAAACCATTTACGCGTTTCACCTATGAGGTTTTTTCAAAATGGTAAATGTTTTTTTTTTACCATTTTGAAAAAACCTCATAGGTGAAACGCGTAAATGGTTTTAATAAGTGTATTTCAAATCAATAAAAGTAAATTTTGGTTAGCCACCTCTACAACCCTGGGTGAGGCCCAGAACAAAAATCCCAACTAGTGGTGTTGTATTCTGCCCTGCTGAGGCTATATATATTATTATATTGCCACCATTGGCACTATATACCCTGCTGGGGTGACTTTGCCACAGACCCTACTGAAGGTTTAACCTTCCCATACATACCACTATATACCCTGCTGGGGTATCATATATATTTACAACCCTGCTGGGGTTATTTGGTTTTTCTCCTCAAACCAATTTCATACCTTGTATAAACCCTGCTGGGGTAATTTGTACTCTGTACAACAAAACACGTTATTGCACCCTGCTGGGGTCTGCATAACAATATAAAACAGCTTAGTACTGTCTAATACAGCTTACTGACCTCTATAATACGCCCTGTGCCAACACATATTCAGGCATTATGGAGACCTCTCAGACTACAGAGCTCCAAACCATGGTAAATGAGGCTGTATCCGCCTCCATGGAGAAAGTTCTCTCCAAAATGATGGCCTCCGGTCCTGACAAGAGGACACCATCAAAAACCCACACAGCCCGCCATGACTCAGATTCTGATGAACCAGAATCACGCAAGAGCCCAGAAACCTTCACGGGCAAACGCCATTGGAAAGGCGAAAAAGGTCACCAAAACCCTAACAAAGGCAAAAACTCCGCTAAACACACTAAACCCGCTATAGCCACCACCCCGAACCCGCAACACGAGTACTCTTCGGAAGAAGAAGACTCTCACGCTAAATCCATGGACATCTTAGACGAATGGCAAGCGGACGAGTCAGATTCCAACGAAGACGTTTGGGGCTCAGATTCAGGATCCCAATCCTTCTTTCCACAACACACATTCACGGGAGAACCCCAAGAACCAGACAACGCGGAAACCCCGCAGGAAGACGAAGACACCATATTCGACCCGCTGGGGCAAAAACTTTTTGATCCACTAAAAATAAGACACCCACGCTCAAGCGACTGGACACCACCCGACCACTTAGCGAGGTTCATGCACCTCTGGTTACGGAAGTCCATGGACAAGACAGTCCGCAACCGCTTGAGGTCGGAATGCCCACGACCTTTTCTACCTGACCACGTTGCGGACACTCCAGAATTCGACCAGGTGATGACCACCTTTATGTCGTGAGGTGGCCGCGACCCATGCAAAGGTGTGGAGAAAGGGTTCAGAGAGGTATAGGATAAACTTCTGGATTCTGTGGGACCATTATCCAGAATTATGTATTTGGCCGACGATGCCCTAGCCAAAGCCGATCAATTTGACGCTACTATGGTGCGAGATTGGGCGCATGATGTGCGGGAATCGGCACAAATGTGCTTTTGTTTTGTGGGTAATGCCAATGTCGCCTTATCATCCGAGCGACGTAAAGCAGCACTTCTCCGCATTGACGGGAAATTGGTGGAGTTGGGCACCAAGGAACTAGGTCCTATGGCTCAGGGCAAGCTCTTTGGAGAACCTTTCCTAAAAGAGCTAAGCAGACATGTAAACGTCTACACATCCTTAAACAAGGCTCAGACATCAATGCGAAGAGTCTTTAGACAAAACCCCTCCAGGGATGTTTTTGGACAGGCTGGCCGCCAAAGGGGCTGTGCTGCCAGCCTTTTCTGGCCATCAGGCCCCCGCTCTATGAGACCCCAACCTTTTTACCCAGAGGTGGGATACCGCCCATACTCCTACACTCGAGGCCAGGACAGAGGTCGAGGACCACGCACCCGAGGCAGAGCTCGATTTTCCTCAGGTAAGCAACCATTTCACTCACTTCTCACTTCCAATGCATACAGCAGGTTGCATATCTCTTTTCTTCCAGGAATGGACCTCCATCTCCACAGACGCATGGATCCTACAGACAGTACAAGGCTACGTCATAGACTTCGTAGACCAACCACGACAGACGGAACTACCACGTCCTATCCACTAGACACCTCTCTCATCGACAACGAACTTCAAACCCTATACTCGAAAGGCGAGATCGAACCCGCCTCCGACCCTCAAGGTTTCTTCAGCAACATCTTCTTGGTAAAGAAGAAAACGGGAGATCTGCGACCCGTCATAAACCTACGACAACTCAACGAATACGTCACTTACAACCACTTCAAGATGGAAGGCATACATCTTCTACGAGACCTGCTACAAGACAAGGATTGGTTCACGAGACTAGACCTCAAGGACGCTTACCTATCAGTACCCATCCACCAATCCTGCAGACAATACCTTCATTTCCACTGGCAAGGCCTTCCTTGGCAATTCACGTGCCTCCCCTTCGGCCTCAGTTCGGCCCCATGGAGTTTCACCAAACTGATGAAACCCGTGGTTGCACATCTTCGAGCGCAAGGAATTCGTTGCATCATATACCTGGACGACCTCCTGCTGTTCTGCTCAGACTGATACATCACACACGGTATATCACGGATCTCCTGTCATCCCTGGGCTTCATAGTGAACTTTCAGAAATCGGCTATCTCCCCATCACAAACAGTACAATTTCTGGGATTCGAGATAGATTCCATCTCCAGCACCCTACGGCTACCGACAGCAAAAATCTCAGCCATTCACAAGGAATTACGCAGGGCCATCCGCTGCCACACCATTCCACTCCGCGCCCTCGCACGCATTGTGGGACTTCTCTCGGCTTCCATACAAGCTATATTCCCCGGTCCTCTCCACTACAGGGCGATGCAGCGCCTCAAAGCTTCCTTCCTCAGGAAAAAACCCTCATACAATCAGCCAATCCCGATGACAGAAGAAGTCAGAGAAGAACTCAGATGGTGGCTAGACAGCATGGAGGCATGGAACAGCCGAGCCATCTTCGGAAGGACTCCCAATATGATATTAGAATCAGACGCCAGCCTCTGGGGATGGGGCGCGACGAGCGAAAATACATCGACAGGAGGAACCTGGACATCCCAAGACCTCAACATGCATATAAACTGCCTAGAACTCCTAGCCGGGTCATTTGCCATCCGAAGCCTAGCGAAGGACAAGTCGGATTGCTGCATCCTCCTCAGGATGGACAACATCTCTGCAGTCCGCTACATCAACCGCCTAGGTGGAGTCCGTTCCCGCCTCCTGTCAGAAATCACGAAGGAGATCTTCGATTTCTGCCTACCCCGCAACATCTCCCTCACGGCAGAATATCTCCCAGGAGAGACAAACCTCACAGCAGACTGGTTCTCACGTCACTGGCGGGACACCAGCGACTGGAAACTAGATCCACAAATCTTCAACCACATTGCGGAACGCCGAGGGCCACTTCACCTGGATCTATTTGCGTCCCGCAACAACAGACAAATGGAACTGTACTTCAGCTGGCTCCCGGATCCGGAGAGCGCTGCAGTGGATGCATTCCTACAGCCATGGCCAATCACGGGAGCCTGCGCCTTCCCCCCCTTCGCCATGATAGTGAGGACCATACACTACCTGAAGAATCAACAAACCTCTCTAGTGCTCATCACTCCACTATGGAGAGGACAACCTTGGTTCCCGGACCTCCTAGCTCTTTCATACAAGGATCCTCTTCTATTACCCCATCATCAGTACATTCTCACAGATCCAGGACACCCTCATCCACTCATCCTGGACGAGTGTCTCCATCTGGTGGCTTGGACACTTTCAGGGGCTCCTGGCAAGTCGGCAAACTATCGCAGGCTGCTAAAGAACTACTATGGGACTCATGGGCCCCTGGAACCAGAAGATGCTACCTATCCGCTTGGAACTCCTGGTCCACTTGGTGTTTGGAACGGAACATTGATCCATTTACGGCCCCTATTTCAGCCATTTTAAACTTCCTATCCCACCTATTCTCATTAGGTCGGTCTTACAGATCACTCAACGTAATTTGTTCAGCTATTTCAGCGGCTCATGTCCCCATACGAGGGATTCCGGTTGGTAAGGACCCACTGGTGTGTCAACTTCTGAGGGGCATTCGATTACAACGCCCTCCAGGCCCGAAATATTCTCGATTCTGGGACGTCTACATAATCCTCCGATTCCTGAGAGACTGGCCAACTAACGACAGACTCTCCCTCCGACAACTCTCAGCAAAACTCACGGTCTTGCTTTGCCTGGTCTCCTTCTGCAGAGTGTCAGACATTCGAGCGCTGGACATAGACGCTTTTTCTACCTCCCCAGAAGGAGTAACATTCCAGATATCTCGTCGCACTAAGACGGACTCCATATCTGTATTTTATCCATTCTTCCCCACGGAAATTGCAACACCATTAAGAAATAGTGTTTGTTGCTTTTGTTCCCCAAAGGCCTCCATAAAACAGCAGTTGCAGGGTTGAACGGGAGCAGCAGAGTGGGAGATGGCATATGTAACGGATCACCTGGCACCCCGACTGGGTACCTCCGTTGATGGATGCTCCTAGCGCTTCCTGAGGGCTTCAAGCACTCTAGCCGACACCACAACCACCGCAGACTCCTTCAGTGAGCAAGACAGGAACACGCTCTTAAAAGAGCTTACGAGTGATTATAGCAAGGGAATATGCAGAGCATAGCAATCCCTTGTAGCAGATTCCCCCAATAAGAGACAGGACTCCAAATTGAGGGTGAAGTAGAACTGAAGCTTTTAATCAAACACTCAGCTTTTATGCACATTTTACACACATAGTACCTCCCACAGGGTTTTGAAGTACAACCAATCAATCCGTACAATACACTCAGACACTCCCACACAAAATCCTCCCCTCTGCCTGTGATATAATTACTGAACACAATGGGCTAACCTAATTATCACAGGCAGGAAAATACACAGTTTTGCACAATATTCATAACTTTAAAAGTATGCATCACATTCACATAAAACTTACAGAATCAGCATACAACAAATACAAACAGACGTCAAAATCATACAAATTGGTCCAGTGGGTCAAAAGTTAGTTGGAAATCCCTTTGTGACCACTGCAAGTATGGCTTGGGTGTGGTAAGCCAATTACCTCCAGCA